TGACCACCACCGCTTAAGCTGCTCTGTAAATTATTGAAAAGCATTGCATTAAATTGTCAGCCATAAATTTAACTGCATATATGATTTGTTATCATGATTAGGATCAGTTAAGCACCTCCATTCCTGCTTTGCTCTGTGAAACAAATTGCTTGAATCGCTGCTGGTCTGTGAATTGTACTTCTAGAAGAACACATTTTACCTACAGTCAATAACAAATATCAATCTCAGTATCAAAAGCAAACTGCTTTATCGGATTCAATGTGCAGGGCAAGGAATGGAAGAACACAAAACCATCACTATTATGTTAATATGTTGTAGACATGTGCAGCATGGCAGTAAAGAGAAGCTACCAGAACTCCAGAGGCCCTTGGTGATACAAATTTATATAGGGAAGCACCCACAACCAAAGATCACGAGAGTTGAGTATTATAGAAGTACATTGAGATTTATCATCTGAGTATTAACATTTGGAACCAGCTTGTTTTCTACTAATTATTTGGAAGGAGAGTGAGATAATAAACACACATAAAAACTAACAATCATGCACAGAATGCACTGCCCAGCAACTGGAGGCCAGAGGGACAGGAATACAAACAGATAAGCAAGCTAACTTGATCATCAACTTACCCAGGAAATTTTCCCTGGCAAATGAGTCAAGTTGACAAACACAGCACCTTATGAGTTCATATCCAAAATAAAAGCAATGCATATGCTGAATGTACAATCATCATAATAATGAGTGAAAGTGATATCTAAGCACTCTTGATATTCTCAATTGATTGTCATAGTTATTCTTTTATACATGAAAGGTGGGTACGCTTTATTGGTCTAACTTTGCTACTACTGTTTCATTCTTTGGCGTTTAGTGCCAAGCGGTCTAAGACTTCCCCTCAAAATGGTTGGAGGAGCTTCCTGTACACAGCTCCTCACCGACATGACGTTCTTGCCCACCTTGACCCAAGGAGACGTTCCTCCAGACCTCCACTGCGCACGCCAACGCCCATGCCTCCTTTGCACAACTGCTCACACACCACCACCATGTTGCAGCAACTACTCCACTGTGCTTTCGAGAAAAAGTGTCTTCTTCACCACAATCAACAAGAAAAGGTAAGAAAAAACTCTTCCTACCTCTCTCGCTCATCGACGAAGAAGAAGAAGAGTGAAGAAGAAATCTCTCTCATGGTTTAATCCATATTTGTTGGCTAAGAGGGGGCTCCGTTGTCCACATAGCTGGAAAACGAGGGACCAGAATGATCTTCACTCCGCAACCACCATAAATGGTTGGCGATGGAAGAGCCTGCGTCCGAGGAGGGTTTTGGAGAAAGGCGGCAGTGGTAGGGAAGGTGGAGGACGATGTCGGTGACGTGTTGCCGATATTCGATGGAAAAGTCGCTTCCGCAACGAAAGGAAAAGATCTGGCTTCAACGGCGACATTCGATTCGTCCACACTAAAATCAGTAGGCTGAAAGAGAGATTGAGAAGAACAATGGCCGAAAAGGAGGGGCCTTACCTGGGAGGAAGAGACGGACCCAACAGTGGCCGGTGAAGACAACGGTGAGTGGATTTTTTTGGTTTTTTGTTTTTTTTTATGAATGTGAATGAATTTTCTCATCTTCGTTTTCTCAGTATTTTTAGTCGTAGATTTGAGATAAATTATGTCCCAAGCTAGAATCTTCGTTGGATGTGATAGTGTGGGTTCTGATTTTTGAGATTTTGTTTTTGGTCGTTTCCTAAGAGAGGCAGGCGTTTATTGGCCAACGAATTGATGGCTCCATGAATGTTGACTGTGGCTTAGAAAGGGAAGCCGATTCTGAGACTTTGGCGGTTGGAGAACTGGATTGGTCTCCAACAAAAGGGAAGAAGAAGCTCAACTTTTGGGATTAGGTTTGGATCGGCGAGGTAGATGGAAAGATAAGAAGGTGGGTTCGGGAACTTAGAACGGAAGAATCCGGATGGAGCCACAAATCAAATAAGAGAAATGGAACCATTATGCACAGGTCGTTTTGCCGTCGCAATCTCCTGCTGTTCATAGACCTATTGAAGGAATAGTACAGGGCGAGATGGTCGATTTTGCTTCTAGAACCTCTGTTCATTTGGGTCTCAAAGAGGCATATGACCGGTCTCAAAGATTATTGTGAATCCCCTCCTTCTGATTCTGATTTATGGGTAAGCATTTCGTGTCCTTTTATTCTTTTCTCCATAGTTACTTTACCAATTCCAGATTTCTATACCTAAGAAATTCTGAGTTTACCCAGCCTTTGACCAGTTCCAGCCTGCATAGGCTTGCTACTGTTGACCGTATGTTGTAGTTCTTATTTTTTTTTAAAGATCTATCAGCTGTGAAGTTTGGATTGTTAATAAGTAGGGTTGCATATATATGGTGTTTTTAGCTGATGGAATTTTATTAGTTTGCTTCTTTGTTGTCACGCTACTTCAGGGGGTAGTTTATGCTGGATTTGCACTTTTTATTTTCAAGTTTGGAAGGAATGACCATTTGGTACATACTGCATACAGGAATTGTTTTGACCTTTTATGTCTCACTTTTTCCATTCCATATGTGCCACTAGAGTTGTATATTTATGTTGGATTTCTATTTAATCATCATCTTTGTTGTGAAGTTTGTCTTCATGATGTCTCTTTTCCTTACTGATTGTACCATGTTATGTGTTCATGGCTGAAATAAGTACTTATTCTCGGTTGACAGTTGTCATAGTGGTGTATAATGATTGAACTTGGACCTGGAATTACTCACAACAGGTAAACTTTTTATGTCCACATGTATCTCGCTATCAACTGTTGTCAATCATCCTTCCTAACCTTTTCATTAACACTGCAGCTATGTTCGGAGCAACTTCTCTAATCCCATTTTGGTTTGGTCCAATTTACTTTTGGGTTTTTCGTACCTTTCGCTGATGTTAACCTTGGGAATGCATAGGAAACCCATTTATAACTGCGGAATCAGTTTCTGAAATCTAGATGGTCATATTGATGCTTAAGTTTCAAGCCTGCATTCTTTTCCCTCTTTGTAATCCAGGTTTAACTATTGAGTTTCGTCTTGACTGTCCCACGTATATGAATGTTGGGGAACATGACAAGGCTGCTTGTATTGTTTTTAATTTTTTATCCTTGGGGAAAAGAAAAGTATTGTCTGATTCGGTTACTTATAATGTCTTGCTAAGTGGGTGTTGCAAGATGACAAAATTCAGCCAAGCTATAGAGTTTTTTGGGAAAATGATGGATTCAAAATTGTGATGGACAAAGGTGGCTTATACATATGTGATTTCTGATATTGTATGGTATGAAGTTGGTAAAGAGAGGAATGAAATTTTTAGATTTGATATATCATGAATAACTCGTTTCTTTTGTGCAAAATTTCCGACGACTTAAAAACGAAGGAGATATCATATGGTATGGAGTTGGTAAAAAGAGAAATAAAAAAAATCTCAAAAAATATTGAATATGGATCTCATTTTGTAGAGCACAACTAACTCGTTCCATCTGTGCAAAAAAATTGAAATCCGAATTAGAATGAAGAAGATATGATCCGATTAGAGCATCTCCATTGGTGCAATTGCATTTGTTTTTTTATTGTTACTTCATTTTTTGCAATCCAATTCATCTTACTTGCATTGCACCACATCAATGCAATTAACTTGCAATTGCAAATAATTTTTTTAATTTAATTTATTAAAACATAAACACTCAAATAATAAAATTAATGAATAATTTAATAATAAAAAAGATGATGTGGCTTGCATTCCATAATTGCATTATATGCAAGCTTGCAAAGATGCAATTGTCATCTACATCAATGCAATTGCAAATAAATGTCATGTCATGATGCAATTCTAAATGCAATTTCAATAGAGATGCTCTTATGGGCTTCAGAAGAATAAAGGCGTCCAAAGCAAATTTGGTTAGCTGTTTGCTACGGTCGGAACTAGGCCAGTTAATGATTACTGACCAGTTAGGAAGACGGTCTGCCCATTTAAAATAGGTTGATAACCGAACTGGAAGGCCTGATTCATATAACTCCTTCAAACATAAACGGAATCTTTTTACGGAAAAAAATCCTAAAATACACATGTTTTAAAAAAAAATCCAAAATACACACGTTATTAAAAAAAATTTCTCAAAATACACGTGTTTGGGCATCACTGTCGGCCGTGGTGAATGCCTTACGTAACACTGAAATTTCAAACAAACGTAACTTTGCGCTCGGTTATCCGATTGTAGCGATTTTTTTTATTCCACATAACTGTTCAAGATCTTTCAATCTGCAACAAGCCTTCGTCCAAAAAAAATTTGTTTGCTACCCCAAACGAGTAATTTTTTGATTTTGACAAACTTTGGAAGACCATAACTTTGTTCTCCGCAATCCGAATGTCATCAAACTTTTTTTTTATTTCGCATAACTTTTGAAGGACTACAACTTTGATTACAACCATAATTTTGGAATGTATGTGGCTTTGTGAAAAGTAAAGGCAAAGTTATTCCCAAAATCTCGTATATCCAAAAATATATATTTTTTAAATTCGTTTCTATTAAAATTTATATTTTTTAAAAAGTTATGCGTAATAAAAAAGCTTTACGACATTCGGATTGAGGAGATAAAAGTTATGGCCTTCCAAAGTTTGGCAAAATTGAAAAATTGCTCGTTCGGGGTAACAAACGACATTTTTTTGAGATGAAGGTTTTTTGCAGATTGAAAGATCTTGAAAAGTTATGCGGAATAAATTTTTTTGCTACAATCAGATAACCGAGCGCAAAATTACGTTCAATTGAAGTTTCGTTATTAGGTCAGGCATTCACCGCGGCCGTCAACCGCAGTGATGCATTCACCGCTTTCATCTTCCGTGGTGAATCCATTCACTGCAGTGATGCCCAAACATGTGTATTTTGGGAATTTTTTTTATAACGTGTGTATTTTGAGATTTTTTTTTTAAAAACATGTGTATTTTGAGATTTCATACCTTTTTACATTGAAATTCAAGTAATCTACGCATTACGTCTCTTTCTTTCACCATGGCGCCGTTGCCAAATCTTCGAACCCAGGTTCAATTCCTCGACCACATACCAATTTCTCAATCTCAGAATCTAGAACTTCCACCCTCTCCCCTACTTTCCCAACTCGCATAGCCAGATTCTACAGCTCCTCCTTCGTTGTAGCCCTCTCCGCCATCAGCTTCTCGTACTGGCTCGCCTTCTCAGCCAAGCATACAACTTTCCCCAATCGAACGAGCATAAAACCGACCTTCATCCCAAGCTACTTGAACCCTTTAACTTGCTCTCCCACATCTAAAAATCTTTGTCTCGTCCAGCAGAACTAATGATGGACGAAGCTGCGACGATGGAGTCAGCAACATTCACCGTGTCAGCAATCATGCCAACGATGATCCTAATGTCGAGGCCCTCGAGAAGGTGTTGGTGCAGAAAGGAACTCTGGCTCGGAAAGTTCATCATCGATCACTGAACCATTTGCCACAATTTTGAAGTCGTTAAAGCATTTCACTTGCTCAAATTCATAAGCAACAGGTTCCGTTACTTTGGTCTTGCTATCACTTCGATTATCAAACCCACTGTCTAGCTCCAACCAACCATCATTATCATCATCCATGTTGATAGTGTCATTGGTTTCTTCAACTTCTACTACCGCAGGTTCTGTCTCTGCATAAGTTGAACACACAATGACATCCAGCGCTTCACTTAGCAATAGCAACCAAAGTATGAAGCAAAAATGTCTATATAAAAAAACTTACCATGCTTGACAGCATTATCCGACTTCAGAATGGACTAAGGATCCACTTCCTTTGAGGCATTTTCCCTCACAATGTGAACCTGAACAAGTGCAGTAATGTCACAAGATATACATCCCAAACTAATAAAAGGTCATATTTGCTAGGTGCATTTTCAAGTACCCCAGTTTCTACTATCAACACATGAACTACGCATAGCTGGAATTTGAATGGAGATATGAGCTGGAAAACCAGAGCATCCCCGACCTCTAAGTTGTGATGAACGGCGAAAGCTCTCCACCCTCCACGGATTTCACGACTATGCCAGAAGTAATCAAGAGAAAACACTTTCCCATTTTCCCCTTTCAACCCAATCTTTTGATCCCTCAATGGCATATGCCCATCACAAAATTCTTTCGCTAGACTCTTCACACCAAGAAAACAAAATCCAGATTACAACACAAAATCAAGCACAATAGCACATGGATGCATTCACAGCTTCACACCGACCCATCAGAGTAAAACGACAAGTACCAGGCGAAAACGAGAAACAAGGTTGGTAGGCGTAGGATAATCCTTTTTGAGATTGGCTTCAACTTCAGTCGCCTTTCCCATTACGATATCCCCGATTTCGTGGCCACTGTCGCGACTCGCATAGACTCTTCATTGATTCCTTTATTCTCCTTTTGTGGCTGAGAAAAGTGATAGGAATCAGAAATTCTAAACCCACCATCACTTTAATGTCAGTGACTGTGAAACAAACAAACAATCATATACCTTTGAGACTTTGGCGTCAGGCAATTGTTACTCCATCCATCCTGTCAAATTCTTACAATCAGTGTAACATCCCGTTTCGGCAAAGCCCTTATATCAATCGCTAGAAAGTTCGCGATTTAAAATCGGACATTTCGACACTATTTAGACGAAAATCGAATTATCAATCGATCGGATAAGTATACGGATTAATTATATATATATATATATCGATCGGGGCCGCATATATATAATCTCCCTGTCCATTTATTCATCCTCATCATCGTCTATTTCCACCTCCACCGAGAGAAGCAAAAACCAGACCGAGCAGAGGCGCACAGGGCATCGCGAGGGTAAAATCTCAGAGCTCAATTCTTGAGCATAAGTGATCCAAAAATCCCATAAGTAATGCCTAATTCATCTATACATCGTGATTTATCGATTTAGAGCTTTAAAACGAGTTTTTGGTTCAGGAATTTCTTGAATTCCCGGTAAGCCAAATTAGGGTTTTGGAGTATCCGGAAGCCGGATTGAGCCCATATTTCATATACGAGCTTCCTGCAGCGAGGTAATAAATCCTCTAGTTCTAATCCCTGAATTTCGTCAATTATTTAGGTCGGGGTGCAAATCCATGAATTTAGCTCCGGCTAGGGTTTGATGTGTTTTTATCAAGAATTTGACCCCGAACCTAGAACTAATATTGACGGGGATACTGCAGGGGATATTAGGACGTTCTCGGATTTTAATTCGGGTTTCGTTCGTGAAATTGACGTTTTAGTACGGGAGGCTAGAACCGGTGTTTGAACGACCAGGAATTGTTGAGGGATTAGCACGGCATACCGGGTTTGTCGTATCACGATAATTATATTGATGCTTAGAATTGACCTAGGTGAACTAGAATGGCATGATTAAGGGTGTATGAACTGTTGTGCTATATGATGAACCATGGACCACTGTATGATATTATTGACTTGCCCTAATCGAGATGGACCTTGTTTATACTGATGATTTCATATATGTTGCAAATTATGGGCTTGACTGTTGATATGCCTTATGATGGTTCGAAAAGGTGATTGGGTATGATTTTTCATGATTGTTGTATTTGGATGCACATGTGGGAAAATATATATTCCCTGGTGATATTATGACATTTAAGGAAGATGACTTGCACGAGGGTTTATCCCAAGGAAGTGCAATTATAGACTCCTGATTTACCTATGTTGAGCCAATTGTGGCCAGGTCAAGTACATGTGCAAGTAACGAATTATGATTAAGCAAGATGAGATATGGATCATGTGTAAGATTACCAAGTAAGAGTACTTTGGCCTCATGGTCAATTACATAGTAATTAGGGCTCCCCATGCTATTACTCTGTTATGACATGTTATGTCACACCCCTGATGTGGTGTTGACCATTGATTCATCATGAGATATGACCACACCCAGAGTGGTGTCGAGTTCGATATGACCACACCCAGAGTTGTGTCAGGTCCGATATGACTACACCGGCAGTGGTGGGTCCGATATGACCACATCCACGAGATGTTTGGTCCGTATGCCCGGGAGAGTAATTAGCATGGGAGTAGCCAGGCGCCTATGATTAAAACATGATAAGATGCATATGCATAAGTCAAGGTGGTTGAGTCTTTTGCCCATTGGGATATGAGGATGGCTGAGGTCCGATCCTAGTGTTTTGGCTTGATTGTTAGATGTATGATAAGGGTATGCTCTGTTATGAACTCACGATGCTATGATTATCTCACTCAGCCATGAGCTGACCCTCTTTTATTCTTCTTCTCTGCTTATGCTATGTGTAAGCAGATCATCAGCAGCAGCAGTAGATAAGTGTTAGGTGGGAGAGGAGCTAGAATGGAAGCCAGGATGATGTATGGTCTTCAACTATTCTGTGCTTGGACGACTACTTGGGATTTTGGCCAGTGATCCACACCTTTTTGTAAAAATGTTTTGAGAACGTTTTTCATGTGCATACTAGCTTCTGATGTAGTGTGAGATATCCACAGGTGTGGAAAGTTGATGATATGTGTATATGTTGTGTAACTGTGTAAGTTGTGACAATTATGGTATGTATAAATATGTTACATGGGTCGTGAGTGGGAACTTAGTTTCCGTCTGGGTATGCGCCCTTGGATTGCTGTTGCATATTCAGCTCTTGTTTCAGCTGCTACTGCTGTTTTCTTGATCTATCCAATCGGTCAAGGAAGCTTTTTTGATGGTATGCCTTTAGAAATCTCAGGTACTTTCAACTTTATGATTGTATTCCAAGCTGAGCATAACATCCTTATGCACCCATTTCACATGTTAGGCGTAGCTGGAGTATTCGGCGGCTCCCTATTCAGTGCTATGCATGGTTCCTTGGTAACTTCTAGTTTGATCAGGGAAACCACAGAAAACGAATCCGCTAATGAAGGTTACAAATTCGGTCAAGAGGAAGAAACTTATAATATTGTAGCTGCTCATGGTTATTTTGGCCGATTGATCTTTCAATATGCTAGTTTCAACAACTCTCGTTCTTTACATTTCTTCTTAGCAGATTGGCCTGTAATAGGTATTTGGTTCACAGCTTTAGGTATTAGCACTATGGCTTTCAACCTAAATGGTTTCAACTTCAACCAAACTGTAGTTGATAGTCAAGGTCGCGTAATTAACACCTGGGCTGATATTATTAACCGCGCTAACCTTGGTATGGAAGTTATGCATGAACGTAATGCTCATAACTTCCCTCTAGATCTAGCTGCTGTTGAAGCTCCATCTTCAAATGGGTAAGGTTACTTAATATTCATATTATTCGTTTTTGAAAAACAAAAGGAACAGACCAATGCCAGATTTCTTGTTTTATCAAGAGGTTTGGTATTGCTTTGTTTTTAGTAA